TACTATTAAGATGCGGAATCTTATGCGGTGAATAATCAAACGGGGGACTTTCAACCGAACACCCAAAGTTCCAATGAGGAGAATTACAATCACGGTCAAGGTAATCAAGGTTGGAACTATGGCAATAACAACAGAGAGGGTCATAATATTTGATATGGAAACAACAACTGTGACAACAACTTCAAATGGGTAAGTATGGTAACAGAAATGATCGAAGTGGGCCCCATGTTCTGCCTCAAATCAGGAAGTAGCTCCTAGGTATGGTGGAATTAGTATGGCGCGAGTGAAATATATGTTGTAGAAGATGATGAAGAGGTTTGATGCTAGTGTGATCACGCCCACAAAGTGAGAGATGATTTATCTAATATTGGGCAAATGTTGACGCACATGCGGTCTTTATTAAGCACTTTTAGTGACAAATGGCCCAATTATCCTCTACTGTGAAACCATGACAACCGGGCACTCATCATAACAATAACAATTAAAATCCTAAAAATGATGGACATTGCATGGAAATAATTACTCAAGGAGGTAAGAAATTCATTGATCCACCTATGTCGTCTATGGTAGAAGATGAGTCAGGAAAAGATGAAGAGGTAGTGGAAACTAGTGGTGAATTGGTGGACAAAGTTGTGAAAGAACAAGAGGTACCCAAATATGTGATCCCCGTTCCTAGAACACCACGAGCATTCCCTCATGGATTGCTGAAGATGAGTGAAGATGGTAAAGGTCGGCGTTTTATCAATATGTTGAAATAACTTTCTATCAATGTGCCTTTGATAGAAGCGTTAGAGAAAATGCTCGGCTATGAAGGATATGGTTACTAAGAAGAAGATCGGTATGTTTTTAGGATGATGACTGATTGCAGCATTGTAGTCTATTGCTACAAGGTCTCTTGTGCAAAAGAAAAAAGATTCGGGCGGTTTCACTGTTCCACGTACCATCTTTTTGATACATTTTGCTAAAGCACTATGTGATCTCGATGCAAGCATAAACCTCATGCCTCTCTCTATTTGTAAGAAATTAGGTTTTAATGACCTAAAGCCCACTATAATGCGGTTACTGATGACCGATCCAACAGTGAAGAGGCCTATTGCGATACTCCATGATGTTCTCGTGAAGGTGGAGTTGTTTATATTTCTAGCCGATTTTATCATTCTTGACTGTGAGGTTGATTTTGAGGTGCCTATTATTCTTAGGAGGCCGTTCCTTTATACTGGTCGTGCCTTCGTTGATATGGTAAAAGCACAGATGAAGATTAGGTTCAATAATGGAGAAGCAAATTTTCCAGATTTGTAGGTCCATGAAGCAGAGTGGTGATCTCCAAACGATATATCCTATAGGGTAGAAAGCACGTCCGCGGTACAAATAGAAGAGCGCTTTGGTGTTGAGGCACTAGGGGAAGTGATCATGATTTTTTATAGTATCGTATTGAACAGTACGGATCTTTTGTTGCACTACTTAAACGAGGTGAATTTTGATCAAACCAACGAAATAGGAGTTAGATATGAAGCATCACGAGTCTCCATCCATGAGACAATCTATAGAGGTGGCTCCTAAATTAGAGCTTAAATCTCTACCACCTAATCTAAGGTATGTATTTTTGGAAAGAGATGAAACAATGCATGGAATTATTGCATCGGATTTGAACGTGCAACAAGTAGAATGTTTGGTAGAAGCGTTTAAGAGGTTCAAATGAGCCATTGGTTGGAGTATTGCGGACATTATTGAAATCCCACTCGGTATTTATTCACACAAAATCTAAATCATGCCCAATCACAAGCCAAGTATTGAAAACCGGAGACGGTTGAATCCAACTATGCAAGAGGTAGTGAAGAAGCAGATCATTAAGTGATTGGATGCCGGAGTCCTATATCCAATTTCAGATAGTAGTTGGGTATTTCCTGTTCAGTGTGTGCCCAAAATGGAGGGAATGACAGTAAGGCCCAAAGGAAGGAATGGGCTTGTTCCAATGAGACCTATGACTAGATGAAGAGTTTGTATGGATTACATAAAACTGAATGCATGGACTGAGAAGGACCATTTCCCGATGCTCTTGATATATCAGATGTTAGATAGATTCCCAGAAAAAGGATTTATTGTTTTCTTGATGGGTATTTGGATTACAATCAAATCTCTATTGCATCGGAGCATAAAGAGAAGACCACCTTTACTTTCCCTTATTGGCGTTCACATTCAAGTGGATGCCTTTTGGGTTATGCAATGCATCGACTACTTTTCTAAGATGTATGATCTCTATATTATCTTATATGGTGGAGGACTCTATTGAGATGTTTATGGATGATTTTTCAGTAATTGGCGACTCTTTTGATCAGTGTTGGAGCCACTTGGCCGAGGTTCTCAAAAGATGTGAAGATTGCAATCTTGTGCTAAACTGGGAAAAATTTAACTTTATGGTGAAAAAACGTATAATATTGGGCTATCACATCTCGAAAAGGGGGATAGAGCTTGATCGACCAAAAGTTGAAGTCATTGAGAGATTTCCTTCACCCATCTCTGTAAAAGGTGTGAGAAATTTTCTTGGGCATGTGGGCTTCTACCGGATGTCTGTTAAAGACTTCTGAAAAACTGAACATTCTAAGTGCAAATTACATGAGAAGGAATCTAAATTCTATTTTGATGAATCATGTCAAAAGATGTTCGGAGAGTTAAAAGAGAAGTTGGTGTCTGCGCCTGATACGCTCAAACTTACTTCTCAAATAAGAAGTAAAGCGGTCGTGTCAAGTAAATAACCCAAATAATGAGGTTAGTATCGTTCCCACGAGGAAAATAGTTTAGACTTAACTTCATTCTATTATTACTATTGTTCAGTCCATTACTTTCATGGAAAGAAAAAATTAAAAAAAAGGGTTTATATTCCTAAATAAATGAAAATAACTAGCAAAATTAAAGGAGACAACTAACTGCTTCGAATGTTGGAGTTCAATCAATTAATCAAAGTAACTAGGGTTTACGTGTTCCCTACAGGTTCATAACTTGATAATTCTAACTATAACAATTCTTTCCTAGTATCTTGCATGCAAAGTGATAAGTTATGTATTTCTAAATTCTTGGCCCGGCATCTAGAAAATTTCACTCCGCACCTTGGTCCGGATACGTGTGTTGCTATACTAACCCTTATCTTTACCTCATATTAAGCATCGTATTCGATATTTGACTAAGTTATTACCTCGTACCAATCAATACTAGCCTATTAGATAGTATACACTAAATTTATGTTGATAATTCTATTCCTATTATCTACCACCTTAGGGTTTGTTCCTACAAAGTACCCAGAAAATAATATAAAACATATCTCAATGGGTGTTCAATGTGTAGGGACTAAACCCAAGAATTCTACAAAAATTGGCCTAGTGCACAGATCTACATAACAACTGACGGGCGGTCGTTCAATTAACAGATCGTTGATGGTGTCCATAGATCCCAGATATGTCATAAACTTTGGTCTAAATATGTGTACAATCGATAGTACAGTCGACGGTCCATCGATTGACTTACGGACTATCGACGAGGTATGATTAGTTCATAAAAACCAATGACCTGACCTGACCAGCTATTTTAAAATAAAACTATTCAGTAACCTTCCACATATAATTTAAAATTTCCTCCCAACCGTTTCCTTCCCCTTATTTCCTTTATTTTCCATTAACTCCCCATATCTCTCCCTTCCATTCTCTTCATAATCCCCACGAAATCCAAACTCTAGAGATCCAAAAACTCTAACCTCCCCAGATTTTACTCCGTCTCCCTTGCTTTTGGTGGTCGGTGTTAGAAGGCAGGCACGTAGGTTGATTTTTTAGAATATCACCCACTCAATTGCTCGACTATTGATTTTATGTATTTCAATTTACTTGGCTCAATAAATTATCGTTCATTAGCTATTGAAAATGCCAAAATTGTATGTGGATCTTGACTTGCGGACAAAAATTACATGTAAAATTTTTAAAGTATGGTTACTATGCCCCTTAGAATGATATAAAGTGAATAGGTTGGGGGTGGAATCAGTGTTAATATGATTTTTTTCTTTTTCCTACTTAGCATTTGATAGTCTCTTAGATTCCGTAATAGAAATTTGCAAAATCGAAGCCCTAAGGATGAAGAATTGGTCTTATACTTGTTTGTATGTGTTCGTTGAACTTGTAATTTTCTTAAAGTTATAAAAATGTGTGTTTAAAACCAAGCCCTGAAGCATGTCTCTAACCAACAGCATGAGACCTCTTCTACGGACCGTCGGTTTATCGAATGACCTTTTATGGTTAATCTCTGAAAATGCTCAACTTGGAAACCACGAAAGTGGTCTATGGTCCGTCAATTGATTGATGGGTCGTCTCGTACGTCCTTCATTTCTAACTGAAACTTTGATTTCTGAGAAATTGTGAATCATTCAAAGTGTAAGACAACAAAAGTAGACTATGGTTTGTCATTTAATCAACGGGCCATTCTACATTGCCGTCATTACTAACTGAGACGTCTGTGGAATGAAGACTATTAAAAAATTTCCTAGGCTTCCATCGGCGGACACCATTGACGGACCATCGATCCTTCGATGGGCTGTCGATGGTTCTCCTGAATTATGCACCATCTTGTGTTTTTTGTTTCAAGGTTCTGTTTTGATTGTTTTCCTTGTGTAGTTAGATTGAAATAAGACTAAAAAATTGTTTTTCAGGTACAAGTCCATGGCATAATCCCACCGCATGATCGGTAGTTCTAACAATGAGCTGGATCCGAAATACGTGTCCTCGGGCACCCTTACCCCTACACCACCTGCTAGAGCCACTTGGGGCACCCCCCATAAGGTAGAGTCCAGCGTAGTCACTGCTTCCCAGTCTAATAAGGAGAGCACATCAACCGTTACACCATCTGGTTCTACCTCAAGTTCTTAGCGAGCGTCTGGTTCTGAAGAGGATTCCGGCTAAGAGTCGACCAATTCTACAGGGTCGAATGAGGCCACTGTCTCCGGTCCATGTTCACTTGGATCCACTCTACAAGATGTGCTTGCCCACCATGCCTCATCTGATGAGGCTCATAGTTTGGAGTCTTCTCCGTCACCCCAACATGAGTTCCCTGCACCACTTTTTGATGAACCCAACCGATGGTGCATCGATGTTCAATATCAGATCTACAGGGATGCCAAGACGCTGAACGAAAAGATGGTGAGGATTTGGTTGGTGACAGTCGAGCGACGAGTTTTTACATGGAGTCTCCACACAGTCCCTGAGGTTCATACCCTATTTACCCTCCATAGTCATGACTGGATGGCTGAGGAGGCAAATAGCACAGAGTTTCTTCGGGAGTTCTACGCCTCCTATGTGGATGGCACAGAGGGTCTAGTTTGAGGCTGTCGGTGGGCATTTCCTCTACATCCATCCACCGCTTCTTATACGGTGCATCCATTGATGCCACAACGGTTTCCCTTATCCAGAGTTTTATTATCGATGGGATGTGGTCAAGAGTGGCTAGTTTCAAAGGAGTAGAGATCAAGAGAGTCCACAAGCAAGTGGATCGCACAACAACTCTCCATTGAAGGATAAGAAGAAAAATTGGTATTGGACCACAGAGGCCTTATCAAGAAGTCTAACCTCACCTTTGAATCCATGTTCTTATAGATGTTAGTCCGTCAGCGCCTATCCCTCACGGCAACATATAATATCCTTACTTTTGATAGAGTGGTCCTGCTAGTAGCATTGGTAGCGGAGTTGGAGATCGACTTTGCGAGGTTGTTGATCTACGTGATACATGATAGGGCTTTTAAGTCCTCTACTACTTACCTATTTTCCCGTATGATTTTCCAGTGCATGGATGGTAGAGTGTTCTATGGCACTATGATGTCCTCCGTACACCGACGGGGATTGTGGATATAGGTCTCATCAAGGATAAGGCAATTGTGGCAGCACCTCGGCGTAGACCCAGAGTTTATTTGCAGCCGCTAAGTGACAACTTAGAGGATACAGTAGAATTAGCCCAGCGGGCTGATCTTGCCACTTCAAAGCCCACCAATACGGCACCGGTCGAGTCTGCCCCTCGCACTAGTAGGGCACCTAGTTCCTCTCGGTCTACACCACCATCAACAACACTAGCCCCGATTGCTATTGTCAAGAAGCTAGAGGCCTATATGGCCACCTTGTTGCATAATATCAATCCTTGGATGTAGAAATCCATTGCTGAGGCTGACAACCGGATTTAAAAGAAGGTGGATTACAATACGGAGCAGAAGATTTAGGCGGTCCGCCAGCGCCTACATGCATTTGATCTGCGAGTTATAGCCTGCCCTGCTCCAA